ACCCACCAGCCACTCCTTGGAAGGAAGATGGGGCAATCTACTTCCGTAGTGATACTGCCTCGGAAACCCAAGGAGGGGTCGCTATGAGTCGGGTCGGGTCCGACTCGACGGCACACAACAACAACAACAACAACTGCATTATTATTCCCATATGTAACTACGATGGTAAGTGTGTCTTCAGACAAGAGTTAGGCCCTTTGCATACTAGAAGTTAAAGTTAGGGTTGGGGAAGGTGAAAGGGAGGAAGCTTTTGTTTGATTTTTTTCTTGTTTCTTTCTGGGTGATTATTGTTCAGATTTCAAAGTGTGGTCCAGAGCCACTAGCATCAGAATTACTTGGGGGTCACATTCCCCCGCTGACTCTGACAGCACACTGAAGAGTGACAAACCACTACCTTAGGGGACACACAATGGAAATGCTACCGTTTGCCTAATTCCCCACAGTCACAGTTCTTCTTTTTCCTTCTCTTTCACTACAGGAAAGACAAAATATCCAGGTGTAAAATTAACTAAGCAAAATCAATTCTGAAGTACACAGCTGGAGGACTCACATTTCCTGATTTCAAGACTTACTATAAAGCCACAGTAATCAAGACGGTGTGGTGTTGGCAGAGCGATGGACACGCAGACCAATCAAACAGAGCAGAGAGCCCAGTTACAGACCCACACAAACACCCCCAGCAATTATATGAAGAAAGAATAGCCTTTTCAACAAGTGGGCATCCATGGGAAAAAAAATGAACTTCAACCGAAACCTCACACTTTATACAAAAATTAATGAATCATGGACTTAAATGTAAGATGTAAAAAAGATTTAGAGAAAGACAATTGGAGAAAATCTTCAGGATCTGGGTCCAGGCAATGAATTCTCGGACTTCACCCCAGAAGAGCAAGCCACAAAGAAAAACTTGACAAATCAGACTTCACCGAAAGAGACAAGCTACAGATTGAGAGAAGTGATTGGCAAACCATATATCTGATGAATCTAGCAAATAGAAAGAATACTCAAAACTCCACAGTTTTTTTTTAATCACTGAAGAGAATATATGGATGGCACATGAAAAGATGGTGAATATCATTACTCATCAGGGAAAGAAACATTAAAATCACAATGTGTTATCACTACACACCTATTAGATTGGGGAAAGTGCAAAAAATGGTGCTAATACCAAATGCTGTTAAGAATACGGATAAATTAGATTTCTCCAACATCACTGATGGGAAATGTAAAATGGTACAGCCACTCTGGAAAAGAGTTTGGAAATTTCTTATAAGGTTAAACATACCCTTACCATAAAAAAAACAAAAAAATCAAACTCCCTGTCATCAAGTCGATTCTGACTCAAGGCAACATCTCTTTGGGTTTCTGAGGCAGTAAATCCTTACAGAAGTAGATTGCCCAGTCTTCCTTCCATGGAGTGGCTGGTGGGTTTGAATCACCAACCTTTGGTTAGTAGTCAGATGCCTTGGGCACTGCACCACCAGAGCTCCCCAATATGACCCAGTAATTATGCTCCTCCACATCGATCTCAGAGAAATGAAAAGCTTTATCTGCACAAAAGCTTGTACATAAATGTTCATAACAACTTTATTTGTAATAGCCCTGATGGGAAACAATCCAGATGCCCTTCAACAAGTGAATGGTTAAACTGTGTTACATTCATGCCATGGAATATTATTCTACAGTGAAAAGGAGTAGATGATACACTCAACAACTTGGATAGATCTTGAGGGAATTATGCTGAGTGAAAAAAAAACAATCTCAAAAGTTCCATACTGTCATGAGGCAACGTGTGTGTTAACTGCTGTATGGAGAGTGAATTTGCTCTGTGGACTTTCACCCAAATCACAATTAAAAAAAAAAAAAAAGTTCTCTGTACTGTATGATTCCATTTATATAACATTGTTGGAATGACAAAATTATTGAAATAAAGATTAATGGTTGCCAGAGACAGGGAGTGGAGGGGG